AACAAATTTTCTATTTTTGAGCACCTGTAAATGAAGCTCCAATTTGTTTTATTTCTTTAGATATTTAATAAATGATTGATCAAAAAAATTAAGTTCTTTTTGAATATTTAAATTATTAATTTATACTTTATTAAAATTTATAATACAATATTTATTTTAATAGTAATACAAGAAAAAAAATTCACTATATCCTTTAAACTTATTACAAAATTTATTATACAAAAATCTTCATTAATAAAAGTCTCATTTATACTTGGTCAGGATCTTTAATTTGTTATATATAATAGTAAATTTTATTATAAAAATTTGTTATATTCAATAATTTTATTTAATAAAATTTGGGATCACTTATGTAATTCACTATAATATAAAAAAATTCAGAATATAGTAATTCGTTATAATGAGATTCAACTGTATATATAAGAAGTATTACAAAAAGCATTATATACTAATTTTAATTTACATTATCTTATTAATTTATTTGAATAATTTATTAAGTATGAAAATATTAATAAGTAGTAAAATCATCTGAATTTGAACAAATTAATGATACTTATATAGAAGTATGCTAATCTACTAGTTTTATTTTTAAAAATCTAAAGTCTCATTATAGTAAAGGTTATTCAATAGGAATAAAAGAGCTTATAATCCTTAAAATAAAAAACAAGTACTAATATCAATGTAAAAAATGCAGAAATATTTGTCATTATTAAAAATTGTAAAAGTCAATATACAAGTAAATAGTAAGAAGTATCAAGTTTATAATAATCAATGTATTGATTTATTTTATTTACTTATAATATAATATATTGTAATAATTAATAACTTGTATATTGTATTATTAGTAATCAACATTTACGTAAAATTTATAATATAAAATCACATGATATTTAAAATATTATATAAAATAATATATTAACGATAAAATAGCATGATGATAAATTACAAAACTCTTAAATATATATTTATTATGTATTTATATTTTAATTAATTTTTTATTAAAAATTTTATCCCTTAAATGGTTATAATTTTCATTCAAATTTAATCATGATTTTCAATCAATTATTATGCAAAATTCTACATAAAAACTTACAATTTTTTTTAATTTTTAGTTAAAGTATGTTATAAAATTTATTATAAATATATTATTTTTAAATAAAATTTCATTTTTAATAATTAAAATATTAAATATATACAAAATTTTCAAATTTTTTTATAAATAAATAATATTTTAACATATAAATAAATGTTTTAAATATAAATTTAATGTTTTAAAAGTTTTTTTAATATTATAAAAAATAATACAAATTAAAAATTTTAGCTTTTATAAAGAAAATACTTTTATTAAAAGATTTTTAAAACTTTGGACTTAAATTAATGCAAAAAACTACTAATTAATATAATTTTTTATTTTGATTTTACTTAAAAATATCATATAATAATATTATTAGTTTAATTACTAATTTTGATATATTTAAAATTAAGTAAGTAAAATTCCTTTTAAATTTGAAAGGAAAATCATTAAAGGGATAATAATCAATTTTATATTAATCAAAATTAAGTATTATGTGATATTTCAAAAAAAAATTCTACTAATAAAATTGCTAAAAGGTTAAATATTCATTGTGTTTTATTTTTGATATAAATGATTAGATCAAAAATTTATTTCTTAAATGATAATGATTTTTATTAAATTTAATAAAATTTTATTTTTAATATTTAAAATATTTAATATATAGATAGTATGCTATTAAAATTGAATTATAAGACATAGTAAATCATATGATCTATACCTCAATTTTAATAGCATACAACCCATATATAAAATTTTTAAATTTAAATTTATGATTTTTTAATAAATAAATAATGGTTAAATATATAAATAAATGTTTTAAATATAAATTTATATATTTTGAAAAGTTTTTTGATAATATAAAAATAAATAAAAATTATAAATTTTAGCTTTTATAAAGAAAATACTTTTGTTAAAAAATATTTAAAACTTTGATCTTAAATTAATGCAAAAGTAGAACAGTTCAAGTCATAAGTTAGAAAATTTAACTCTTTCTTATATTAATATTTATTTTTTACTTCCTAATACAACTTCGAAACTTCAACCAATGGACATAGGGATAATTATGGCTTTTAAAAAACATTATAGGCATTATCGCATTAGGTATTTATATTTTTAATTTTATTATTTTTTTTTTTATATATATAATACAATCTTTTTAATTTTAGGTGAATGTTAGAACAAGTTGAAGCGGGTGAGCTTGTACAAGATTTGAAAATGAATATCTTGAAAGCTATTCAATTTATTATGCCAAGTTGGAATGAAATTACGGCTGAAACTATTCAACATCGTTGGAATCATACAAAAATTTTTTCCAATAATATTTTTTCAGATGAAATTTATGAAGATTATTTAATGCTGGATAATGAACTTACTAATGCAATTGAGACTCTTAATCTTCCTAACAGAATACAATTAAAAGAATTTTTAACCATTCCTGAAGAAGATATGGTTTGTGGAATTCCTAATCTTTCAGAAATTGCAGATTTATTTAGAAAAAAACCAAATGAAAATTATCTGGATGAAATGAATGATAATATTGAAGCAGAACCCATTTGCATTAATAAAGCATTGCAAAGTTCAAAACTGTGCATATGTTTTTACTTCAACAGGAAATGCAAGTGAACAAATAAGATTAGTAGGTAAAATTAAAAAATTTATGAAAAAAGAAAAAATTAATTCAATGTAACAAACTACTATAAATCAATATTTTAGCTAATTTTTGTAATCATAATTTTAGTTTTATAATTTTTTTTTTAATTTTTAATAATAAATATACTTTGCAGAAACTCATGATTTGTTATTATGCGGTTAAGTGATCACCATTAAATCATGATAATTTAGTATTCAATATGTGACAACGTGGCTCCAAACGATTTTGTAATATGATTGAGAATTTATTGATGAAAAACCTTTTTGAAGTCATAACATAATATTAGATAGATAGTAAATATCATCAATACTTATTCAAAATAACTTATCCAATATATTTTTTCGATATAATAGATACTATTTGACTACTATTTGACAATAAATCTATTGAATTCTTTCTACTCCCATTGCGCCTTAAGATTTTTTTTGTTTTTCATTTATAGTAAAATTTTGATTATGTAATATATTTTATTGTTATTAATATAAATTATAAAAAAAATGCTATTCTAATATTAATAAAAAAATATTAAAAAGTTATAAAGTCATTGTAATTAGATATAATAGAAACTATTATTGTAGAAAAAATGACCTAATAAAAACCATTGTTTATCATGATAAAACGTCTATTATTTAAATTTTTGTAATAAACTATTGTAATAAAACAATATGAAACACCATAATCACGCATCTTGGAAATTTGAATCTGAATAAGAGTTCATTAAATTGAGATATTACCTTACCAAGAAGCGAGGTATTTTCATTTTCTGAAAAAAATATTTTTTTTGCAGGATATTTATAAACGTTACTATGTAAGCGTATTAATTCATAGTGAACTACAATAATTGATTATATCTAATAAAAAGCAGAATAATAAATAAATTTTTTTTTTGACTGATATCTCTAACTTTTAATTATGAAAATTGAGTTGTCCAGTTATATAAGCAATAATTCTATAATTTTTTTCAAGCGATAATAATATATGAAGATTTTTTAATATCAGCTAAACAATTAATCCTTCCACTGCTTGTTTTCAGTTGCTTCTACTTTTCAAAAAAAAAACCAAACATAAGGAGTATACTAGTATATAATTTTGTATAATAATTTTACGCCTAATATAATAAAATTCATGTTAAATAAAGTTATAAATTATTTATTAATATAAGTAATAAATAAAATACCTGTTTCACAACTGTAAGTTGCTGGTGATATTTCTGCTGTTTCAGGATGGAACTGCTATATTTTTTATTATATTATCCAGGATTTAGTCCTTTCTGTATCTCTCTCTACATAATTAATAATTATTGCATTTATGACCAATTTATGTAAATGCAGCATCATTTTTGAGACTGTAATTCAAATATATTAGTTGCATTTAACCATCTATGCAAGGCGTTTTTTGTTTCAGCTTCATCTACAAATGAGACAATTTCTCTTTGTGAAGGATGAGTTGTATACAAAATTCCTTCCCTATAAATAAAATAAATTACATAAAAATGGCTAGAATAATAAAATTGATGGAATTAAAATGAAAAAATTGCTTATTCAGCCATTTTTTCTTTGAATATATGAACCTTTTTCTCAATAATGTTAAGAAATTTATTGCAAAAATCTCCAAAGTTTCTATTAGCTGCTCGCAACCAGACAACACCTTTAGCTAAATTTAAATTATACCTGAAAATTTGTTGGACCAATTCTTCAAAAGCGTTCTTTTCAGGATTTCGTGATCGGAGAAACAAACACTTCAGTTCTTCAAGAAAATCATGACTAGCTTTAATCTGTATATGATTTATTTGACAGTTAGTAATAAAATAAATAACAAAAATAAAATTATCGTTAAATTATACCTTGTCTTCTTGTACATGTGACGCAGAAGTTGCTGACATTGATGAATTACAATTTGACAAAATAAAGTTAAATTCGTTCATAACTGATACTTTCATCGATATGTACATATTTTAAGCTAGTAATAAGACATCAGGATTATTACATAACTATGAGCAAATTTGGTGAACGTTATCTATTTCACGAAAGGGTGTAAAATCTACATTATTTGATTGAAAAGATGTATTATTCGAACGAAACTCATCATCATTGAAAGCGTCAAATGTCAGACAAATATCAGTATTATCATTTAAAGAAGTATTCGAACAAAACACATTAGATGTATTTGATCGAAAAACATTATCATTAAAATTTGTATTATTAGAGTGAGATGTAAATGAATACATATTAGTTGAACACAGCTTACGTAGTATAGATAGATGCACATTATGCATCATAGATGAACGCATATCAGTCGAACATGGTGAACGTGGATAGATTGACATGTATTAGTGTAACATGATGATGAATGTAGCGTAGTATAACAAGGTGTATTAATTAAATGTGAATTATAATTTAAATTTCTATTAGTTGCTTCATTTGAATTATTTAATGAGTTATTACGAAGCTTGTTAATATGCATGTTGTTTGTAATCGGTGCAAGAGGTTTATGTTTGACACTTATAACATCTAAATAAATGAAAAGCGAATAAATTAATAAATGATAAACAATAATAAGTATGGTTTTAAGTTATTACACACTTTTTTTATCTTTTGAAAGATAGCCATCGCTTGTTTCTAAAAGTTCACTAACTGAAATGGTTGGTCTTTCAGCAGGTAATTTATCATCTTTTTCATTATCACATTCATTATTATCATCATCTTCAATATCATCATAATCTATAACACCATCATCATCTTCGCTATCATTGCCATCAATACATTCATCATCACCATGAACTTTGTTATTTTTCTTTTGATTAATAGGTGCTGTTATTTCTTGTATTTTTTAATTATCACCATCATTTAAAGTTTCGATAATAGGCTCCTTCTTCTTTCGATCTCGTTTAGCTGCAAGAGCTGGCTTTTGTATTTTTCCATTATCACCATCAATTTAAAGCTTCGATAATAGGCTCCTTCTTCTTTCAACCTCGTTTAACTGCAGGAGCTGGCTTTTGTATTTTCCTATTATCACCATCATTTAAAGCTTCGATAACAGGCTCTTTTGTATTTTTTTTCAAACCTCACTTAGCAGGAGTATTTGTTTTTTTAGCAGACGTATCTGGTATGAGAATATCATCTTCCTGTTTTCTCTTTTGATTTCTGGTCTTTGGAAATGTTACTAATTCTTCATTTTGCGTCTTCTTATTTTTTGGTGATATGATGAAAAAAGATAATTAATCGTTTTTTTTTAAACAAAAGAAATACAATTCATATAGTTAAACTTTTTTAGTGTCTTTATTAAAAGGTTATAATTTTATATACTTTATATACTTTTATCATGAACATGTATTTAGACTTTTATGGTGTTAGCTTGAACGGTTCGTCGTTAAGTTAACTAAGATTATTTGCTAACAGGGAGTTTAAGTTCGTCTAAACTATGAAAGAAATAAACACGAATTAATTATGTTGAAGGGTCA